ACCCCACCCTGACCGTGCCCCCCCACCCCCGGCTAGGACACGCGAAGTTGTGCGGAGGCGTCGGGTGCCGATTGGCCGTGTCCCCCCCCCGCGCTCTCCCCTACGCTCTTTAATCCTGACCAGTTCCGCCCGCTCTGTCTGATTACCGCGGCCTTCGCGATACGCGGCATCCTGTTCATTAACGATTCATGTAGCCGGATAATCTCAGGCCGACTCCCCTCCTGCCCACGTGTTCTCCTGCAGTCAGCAAAGTATTTTATTTATTGTGACGGTGTTTGTTACGCACTTTCTTGAGGAAAATGGCAGCGTCTGCTACGAATCAAATTTCACCCCGACATAAGTTCCACATCCACCAGTCTATCTGTCTGCCCTCTTGCCCCTTCTTGGATTTTTTTTTAATTCTGCCTCCCCAGGAAGGTCATCTCCACAGCCTGCTTGGCCAGTACTAACACACAACCCCCAAAGACCCTAATGTCCCAGTCACTGTTCAGTTCACGTAAAGCTTGACTTAAATATGGGACCCCCCCTTTCCCGTCATATGCCTGCAGGCTAATTCTCATGAGCAGTAACCACAATAGTCGAGGCCCCTGTCTCTCTGCTGTCCACGGTCTTTGCTTCACCCTCCACAGCACCTGAAGCAGCTTGCCCTTCCACTCCCCCACTCCCACCCCCCAATCCAAAGGCATTTCACAGTCTAATGATTCGATCTGAAATAAAAACCTAAGAAATGTGTCTTGCCCAGCACCCTTCAAAAAGCCGGTGTCGGTTTGCAGAGGTCTGAGGGACTTCGGCCCGACGATAAGTCCGTACGAAATAGCGGGATAATCTCAATCGCAGGTGATAACAGACGGCCCTGAGGTGAGCGATCAGACCCTGGACTCCCCCCTCCTACAAGGGGAACCTGCTGATGCCCTGTGGAAGAGGAGGAAGAACAGGAGGCTGTTAGCAGAGGGCAGGAAATGAGTGAAAAAATGAACTCATAGCATCAGTGATTAAATGGAATCGTGTACTCCTGTGTGTTCTTTCGGTCCCCATAAGGCAGGGGTGGCCAATCTTATCCGCGAAGGGCCGCAGGTTTTCGCTGCAGCTCCCTAATTAGATTATTAATTAGAGGACTGATTGGCTGAAGAGTCCTCACACCTGGGTTTGAACAGCTGACCTAAAGGTCACCCCTAAAACCTGCACCCACCGCCGCCATAAGGGGAAACTCAATTTGTGTGAGTGCAAAAAACAAACTAAAAATACAAAAAGACATATTTTGGTGGTTACTAATGGTTAAGGTCATCATGTTGGAATTAGGGTTATGGCCGTAGAAATGAATGGAGTCCCCACAAAGACATGAATACAAACATTTTGTGTGTGTGTGTGTGTGTGTGTGTGTGTGTGTGTGTGTGTGAGCCTGGGCCAGGTTTGTGTTTCCCCCCCAAACTGAAGTATGCCCTCCCCCCACCCCCCGGGCCCAGGACAGAGCAGTACAGGATCTTCTGACAGCGTCAGACCCAGAAGGAAGGTGATACCTGGAGGACAGTCCAGCTAAACTGACACCTCTGAGACCAACACACACCCCCACCCCCCACCCCCCCGCCCCACACACACACCCACTCTGTCCTCCCCAAACCCCAGTGCTTTCTCAGACACACTCTCCACTGCTGTGCACTTTTTCTGAATCGCCCTGAATCTAGTCTGCAGCCCTATAGCTGAAGCCTTACATGTTTAATCAACGTTTATTACCCAGAGGTCATTTTGCAGAGGAGCATCCTCTACATTACATCATCCTCCAGAGACGGGGCGGGGTCCACAGCGGCCTCAGAATTACCCACTGCTACACCTCTTTCTGTAAACTGGAAATGGCATTTTTACACTGTGTCTGAGATGGTTCCTAGCCATCAGCTGGGAGTCACTGGGAACCCTATGGTGCCTGGTGTTACCCTCCCCCTCCCCATTTGGGCCTACTCACAGGGATTTCTCATTGTCTTTATTTACAGACCGCAGGGGGTCAAAGGTCAAACCTGCTTCCTGGACATCTGTTCCACGATCAAAGCTCACTGGGCTATTTTTGAATTTCAGGCTTTGAACAAATCATTGTTATCTTTCATCTGATATTTGTTGCCGATCTGTCCATTTGTTTACTTAATTGCATATTTATATATTGACTTTTTTCTTCTCATTAATTCTCATTCCCTTCCGAGATGCCCACAGTAATGGCCCCTATCTTCAGGTTGAGTGCCCATCACGAACCCCATACTCACACTGAGTGAGCAGGACAAGAGTGTCAGCGCTGTTGGACAGTGGTGGATTCTGGGAGACTTGTGGACCTTAGCCGGCCACGAAGATCAGAACATGTGCTGTTGGCTCGTTCATGGAAACGCAGTGTTTCACTTTCTGTGCGAGCGTGTGTGCATGTCTAAGGATTCAAGGGTTTATTTGTCATAGTCAGACTGTAACCTGCAGGGAAATGAAAGGCAGAAGAATAAAAAAAGCAAAAAGGACATAAGTAACAAAATAGATGTGTAAAAAAAAGGAACAGAAAGCCAAGTAGGGAAAAAAAGGACCAGAGATGTGCACCACAGCTCGAGCACACATCCTCGGCGTCTGCAGCCGTATGTGAGTCTGAATCATACATGTGCCTTTGCATGTATGCGTACGCAGGCGGCTGTGTTCCCACCGGGGGGGGGGGGGTCCTCGCAAGGCGCCAGCCCGTGTCGCTCGCATCGCCGCGGACACGGCTCTGTTTACTCCCGTCGCTTTTGGCCACACACCACGCTTAGCGAGAGAGCATTTCCTGTCCTCGCACGTCCCCCTCGACCTTTTACATAACATGGACTTTCTTCAAAAAAAAAAAAAAAACCCTTTCTCATAGACTTCTGCAGCTATATAAATATGATTTTTTTTTTTTTTCATTCCCGCAGGCAAGTTTAGCACTTTATTTTTCTTATCTCGTTCAAAGTATTCTGTGGGTATTCCGACACACACACACACACACACACACACACAGCTCTGACACATCGCAGTGCTGGGTCTGGAGCACGACCTTCGTATTTATGTTAACATTTAATGGCCCTGCGTGCGTTTCTAAAGTCACGATGGAGCAGGGCCACGACAGTTCCTTCATTAAGGGGGGATGGGGGCTGCAGTGACACAATATTGTAATGAGCAGTGCCCCCCCCCCCCACCACCACCACCACCATCATGGAACCGTGGACAGCTGAACGGTATCTAGCGCACCCTGTGGAAATATGTTTGATTACCAGCCCACGTGTTTGATCTCGAGCCATGGAGACCAGCAACGAAGGGGTCTCGGCTTATTTTGGGGTGAGGGGGGGGTTGGACATGCCAGGTCGGCTGATTTGGAGGTGATGGTACACTGCTTTCATGTCCCTTCGAGCTGTGAGGAGCTGAGATATTCCTGAGAGTGCCCCCCCCCCCCGTCAGAAAACATACAAGCAAACAGCGTTATTAGCCAGTGTGCCATGAATAATGACCTGCTAATTTATGCCCCTCCTCAGCCAGAAAACTCTCTGCGCGTGACACGATCTCCAGGGTGCCGTGAAATGTAACCCGGGTCGCTTTTGGGTTCAGACAGTGGGTCGGACTGGTGGTTTGGCCCATCGGCTCATTAGACAGCAAGATTCCACCTGCCTCATTTTATGTGCTTTTCTTTTGCATCTAGATTAGATTAGACAATGACATCACTCTGTTTTAGATCATGTAAATAAGTTGCTTTGCTGATGCTGTACCCGTTTGCTGGATTCAGAAGGATATCTGTCACTTACACTTAAACCAGAGAGTGAAATCTTAAAGCTTCTTTCTCCTTCATCACTATGCCCCCTGCTGGGCACCTGATGAGTCGCATGAAAGTGGTTTTCAGTTTAAGGGCAGTCCCGTTTCATCACCATATCTGTGCAGATTTGGCTTATAGGCTCTGCACACGTCCTCCACTGCTTTGTGGCGACCTCTGTGTGTGTGGGCTTTCTTTGTGATTATTTTTACCTCCAGGATGTGTGTTTAGGAAATGTAGCGTCCCCGTTCCCCACCACCCCCCCGGGCCCTTGGCCTCCTCGCTTCCCCCCCCAGCCAGAGCAGTGACTGACAGGTCTGCTTCCTCGCTGCAGTTCCTTCTGCTCCTGATCTCCCTCCTCATACTCTCCTCACACGCAGGTCAGCCTGATGGTTCGTCAGACCCGGTGGAGTTCTCTCCAGGCAGGCCTCACGTTTCTACGGGCACCCAAAGCTTAGGGGAATTTCAAGGCTGCCCTCCACCCTGTGTTTGGTCAGGGCTCTGGGGTCTAATTGTAAGTAATTGGGGGGGGGGGGGGTGTCAAATCACCAAACTTTAGGGGCGGTTGGTACATTTCAGCATCTTGGGTCAATCCAAAGTCAATTACTCTGTAGACAGGGATATCTGTCACTGGCATTGGGGGTGGGGGTGGCGGTGGGGGTGGGGGGAGAGACGGAACTACCCTACTAATTGTTGCCGTTCTCTTGTCTAGCAACAAGCGCACATGGACAGGAAGCCGAGCATGCAGGGAGGACTTCCTGTACCTCAGCACGCGTCTTTGGTCAGAAGACTGAGCTGTGATTGGACAAAAAGGTTCTGGGTTTTTCAGGACAGTGACTGGGTAGCACAGCTGCTCCTCATCTGCCAGGTTGGAGCCTGAACCCATTAACCTGAGTGTGTGTGTGTCTGTGTGTGTGTGAGCGGGTTTACCTATCCTTATGGGGACATAATGTCCCCATAACGTGATAAATATCCATTTTATAAAAAAAACTCTATTTTATAAAGATCGGTGACTACTATGAAAAAACTAAAAATGCAAAAACTCTTGTGTTTTGTTTGGTTACTTATGGTTATGGTTAGGGCAGGGTAGGGGTTAAGGTTGTCATAGTTAGCATTAGCATTTTTCCCATTGAAATGAATGAGTGGTCCCCATAAGGATATGTTTACCCTACATATGTGTGTGTGTGTCTGTGTGTGTGTGTGTGTGCATGTCTTCTCCCTGTAAGGTGAGGGCTGTATGTGTGTCTCCTGTGATGGATTGGCATCTCATCCAGGCTTCTTTGATGGTGCTACTGATCATCATACTGGAAGCCTTTACTTGCCTTGTGGTTCATAGCAGCTGCAGACATCTCGAGTGAAGGAAAAGGCTCCCAGGTCAGTGAGGTGACCTGCAGAACATCCGCTCTCCTTTCATGGCTGATGTCTGGCTGTCTATGCGAACCGCAGCTATTGGTCCCAGAGCTCAGCTGGATATGTCCACAGCGGCACTCGTTTCTAAGGGCTGTCAGTCCAGGATGAACCATCAGTTTTGTTCAGTGTTGTGTTGCTTAGCATGGATGGTTCCTGGTCTGAAAGAGTGAAATCAGCGCTGCCGGCTCCGTAGGCCTGGGCGTGCTGCATCCAGGGGTCAGGCTACCTGAGATATTTACATAAGAGCACACAGAAGACACCCGGCTAATGGGACGCTAATGGGCTTATGTCATCCTGTCCCTCTAAGGTGTACCGCGTCTCGAATGCCCTGCCCCCATTCCGCCGCACTTTCGATTCAGGCGATTGTCAGTGATCCCCCTCGGTATCGATCTGCGGCGGGTGGGACATCAGAGCCGAAGGGGTCCGAGGCATGCCGCTCACCTCCCCCGCCCCGCGCACGCGCAAGCACCCCCCCCCCCCCCCAAGGCGGCTTGGCCTGACCTTCACCAGAACCACCCGCCCGGCCGCGGTGACTTGCGGCATCGTGGGGAAAACAGATACGCCTCCCCAGCCCCTGCGACCGCTGGGGCCCGCGACGTCCCGAGCCATGACGGCATCGCCGAACTTAATGGCCCTCCCCGCCGCTCCCCCGTCTGGGCGAAGCTGTCATCGCATCTTGACATCAGCGCTTCAGCCATCGAGCGAAATAAGCAACCCTTGTGGGTGCCCGTCTCACGGTTACATCGCTCAGGTGTCGGAGCACCGGTGGTACGATAGAACAGAAGGTTACACTAAAAGCCTTGGAAATGCTCTCAACGCTTCTAGAAGAGACTAAAAGCTGAGCATGCTGACCTGGAAGGCAGCACCAGGGACCGCGAGCTGCAGGAGAGCTGCTGTTGTCCTCGTCGCTCCCACCTGCATTACTTCATTGATCCCATGGGATATGAATTCTCACCCACTTTTCCTGTTTCTGTTTTGGTTAAAAGCATCATAACAGTAATAATATGTTTAAAATATGCCATATGACAGTACACTAGTGGCCAAGATTGTGGAAACACTTCCAGTTTTTAGATATCGTAGAACTTTATTCAGCTGTTACTCCAGTTACTTAACTGACCAATGTATATTTGTAACATTCTTTGATTGTTGATAAACGTTACCACCACTATCCATTTAGTCATGTTTAGTGTGCAATGCCAAAAAGGCTAAGGGGCTTCGACAATGTTGGCCACTAGTGTAGGTATTACTTGAGCTTCTGTATTATTCCATCCGTCTCTCCGGTCCATCTATCACCGGAAGCACATAAAAGGTCACCTGAAGGTCAGAAGCCGCGCACGTGACCCAGCATTTTGGTCCTCTGCCGACAATAAGCTACCTGCTAATTTCGTTGCCTCCCTTTGCCTGTTACCGTGGAGACAGAGGGCCGGACATGATTCATGGCCGCCATTTCGTCCTCCCCTTCTGCAGGTGACTCTGGGAGTGGCTCGGACCTCTTTAAGTTTATAAGTGGGCCCTGCAGCCCCACCAAGTTCATTTAATATTAATAGCGCATTCGTCTTCAGAACAAGGCCGCCGTAATGAATCGGCAAATTAAGACGGGGGAATATTGATCAGGATGCATGGCTGTACGAGAACAGCAGAGGGTTCTGGCCATTATCACCCGCCGACTGCTGGTTCCCTCACATGCGTGCACCGCTTTGCTCGCCCGTTTGATTTTCTGCATCGCAAGCATGACATCCTGAAACACATTTCTGTTTTTTTTTTTATTTTTGTCCAGAAGGTGGCGAAATATTTAAGGAACTGACTTTGCGACCGGACCGGTGTGGTATATTTTCCTCATGAACAGGGAGGCTTGCTGCATTTCCGATGCTGAGCCCTCAAGCTGAGGTGACTTGACACAACATTCCCCCCCTGCAGGGTGTGTACTGCAAGCTCCATGAGTCACTGTGGGTAAAATAGCCTGCGACTGATATAAAAATATAAGAACAAGCCTCTCAGTAGAGGATCATTCCTGATAGCACCTTGGTAACTTGGGGAGCCCCCACATTACAGAGGGGCCGCTGTTTGATATAATTACTCACCCTGCGGTGGATGCAGGCATGAAACCTAAGAAAATAACCAATGTATTGCAGAAAATGGACAATTACTTAATATACACCTCTGCATCAAAGGGGGCCTTGGCCTCCATGACGAGGTTCTCAGAAGGTCCTGACGCAAGGCTGCGATCAGAAATAGAAGCGGCCCCCCGTGTTGGAGGACATCTCGCCCCTCCATCCACGTTGCTATCGGCCGGCTGGCTGCAAAGACGCGTCTAAAATTAAACTGCCGTACACGAGTGGCTGCTCTGGCAGCTTCAACTCTCGGCTGCGTCGAAAACAAGGTGTTGCAGAAAGTGAGTGCAGTAATAAAAGAAAAGAAAGAAAGAAAAAGTGCCACCGCCGGACGCAGGCGGGAAACCCCTGCCGCCTGACTTAGCCTCCGCTCGATGTCGGGCCGGAGTGCGGCTGTGAAGCAGCCAGCCGCCGTAGACACTCTGCGGGGTGAGACGTCTCAGTTCATCTCACTTATAATACAACATGGCTCTGGAAACTCCAAGTGGGACAGTGATTTGAGATTTATGGGCAGGGGTGTAAATTATGGGGGGGGGGGGTAATTCCCCAATAATGGGTGGAGATCTGAACCCCCAACAATGCTCAACCCAAAGTTGTGCCCTAGATTATGGGGAATATGTGATGGGGGGGGGGGCAGAACAAATTTAATCCGCTCGCAGGGATGCCAGTGTCCTTTCATAACAGCTTTCTTTGTGTTCAAAGGTCTAAGGGCGCCTATGACATGACTGCGTTTCTGTTAGCTGACACGTTTGTGACAGACTCACTGGAGTCGCTCGGTGAAAACTTTGCTAAACATATCTCTGAGAGGCCTCCTTGACATCTGCAGGCTCACATCCTTACCTGTCGTGTATATATTTATACATATATATATATATATATTGGCATATTTGTTAGGGCGGCATTGCCTCGCTTGTAGAAGTGCATAGCTTGAGGTTTCAGACTTTTTTCATGGCTAACACGGGCGTACAGAAACCACACGACACTGATCACGCTTTGAGCACGGCGAGAGGAGTCCCACTTTGATCTTAAAGCTCAAAATCAGACAAACACACGCCTGTGTTCCCATATGGAGCCGTTATAGTAAATACACCCAAAGCAGTCCTTTAAGAATGTTACAATGCTTTGTTATAAAAACAAAGCATTGTTTTTTTTTTTTACTTTTCTAATGATATTTCCATTTGCATTAGTAAATTAAAAATCCCTTTAACGTCAGCAAACGTGAACAATGGTATGAAAGTAACCCAGTAAGACAACTGCAAAAAAAGGCATTTATTCCAAGACATATCCTGTAGATGTTGCCATGGGGATCAAAACACGTCCGAATGTTGAGGATCTTTTAATGCGCCTCGCTCTTACTTTACAGCAGACCGCCTCTGTGAATGCTAATCAGGCTTATCCTTTGGTTTTAAGGCTTTCTCACTGATAGAGAACTGCGAGGCCCATCAGTCACTGCACCATTCAAATTCCTGATTGTCATCAAAGTTTCAAACCTTAAATCTGAACCCAGCTATTAAATACCAAAGCGCATTTAATGAAGGCTGGGTCAGCATGTGACTGCTCTAGGCCAATGGACAGGGAGAGGATTCCTATATGATCCTATGTTATCTTTTTAAAAAAAAAAAAAAAAAAAAGAAATGTAGCATATTCTTTCTGTAGCCTGTGCAGCCTGAACAAAGTCAGCACTGGTCAGATATGACCCCCCCATCATATTTCCTGCATGCTTGATTACTCGTGCATGTGTGTGAATTACACTGTAACATTACATAACACCCGGCCCTGCATTCACCGTAAAGCCTTCAGTATATCGATCTGTATCCTTAATAAAAACACCGTGGCAGGTGTCTCCATGACTGCAGGAAAGGTGACCTGCATCGTTATGCGATCGCGAATTACAGTTTGTGGAACTGCTTTTAAAGTGCGCTAGTTTAGGGGGGGGGGGGGGCTGAGGCTGGTCAGAGGAAGGTGGTTTTGTCTTTCAGAGTTTGGGTTTTTTTTTCCACAGCTCAGCTTTCAAAACAGAGCCTCAGACCGGTGCTGGGAAGTAAACACTGCAGTTTTCTTACGGCACACCTTAATGACATGTTCCTTTGAAGGTGTAGTTTAATACAATATTTCACAACTCGGTCCTTGGGGACTCCAAGACAGTGCACATGTTTGCTTCCTCTCAGCTCCCTGCCAGACAGTGCACATTTTTGCTTCCTCCCAGCTCCCTGCCAGACAGTCCCCATTTTTGCTCCATCCTGGCTCCTGGTAGGAGTAGATATGTGGACTGTCTGTGGATCCCCGAGGGCCAGGTTGAAAAACACAGGTGTAATACTGGTGATAAGCTGGGAAATATTAAT